CGCGCAGCGCCCCCCGGAGCTGCCACCCCACTCAGCGCGGCCGCTCTCCACGCGTGGCGATTTGTCATCGCCCTCTGCATTGCAGTTTCGCAATGTCACCCAAGAACTGCGAGGAAAAAGCATTGCGTTCAGTGTTCAGGACTGGGCTGGGCACGAGCACTACCTTCAAGCCGTCCTTTCCGTGTAACAGTCAGGTTACAGTGGGGCACTAGAAAGTTTTCAAATAAAATATTCCCAATGATCTGAGCCTTACTCCTGACTTTCAGGAAGCCGTAAAATAATTTTTTTTTCAAAGTCTGGGGCGGACAGAGCATCAAAATAAAAGCCCATTGATTAAACACTGCTTTAACTGAGGCTTTTGATGAAGAATATTAAACCCCCAGCCGCTGCGGGTGTGCTGACCGCCGGGGAGCGGCAGAGGGCACCCGGAGCCCGCGCAGCGTCCCCCGGAGCTGCCACCCCACTCAGCGCGGCCGCTCTCCACGCGTGGCGATTTGTCATCGCCCTCTGCATTGCAGTTTCGCAATGTCACCCAAGAACTGCGAGGAAAAAGCATTGCGTTCAGTGTTCAGGACTGGCTGGGCACGAAGCACTACCTTCAAGCCGTCCTTTCCGTGTAACAGTCAGGTTACAGTGGGCGTTCGCACTAGAAAGTTTTCAAATACAATTATATTTGGTTAATTATTTCATGCTTGGCTTCAGCTTGTTGTATTCCAGAACATCTCTGACACATCAAGCACTCCAAGGCGGTTTATTTTAAAGTCTGCCTACCCAGTTACGCAGTGTGAAGCATTCCAGTTCAGGGTGAGTGAAACCATCGTTAGGGCAAAACCTGCCTCTGGTACCCGCTGTTACAAGAGACGCCTTCATCATCATGCACAAGTCTTCAGGAAGTTTATACAACTAATTTAAGTTGTATAATCCTTCAGTGGTGAGAAAAGCCAAAAGAAACCGACTCTGCGCATTTATACTGTTTGTAAAATTAAAAAAGCAATTCAGCCAAGTTCTGTGGCTATTATACGAGTAAATTTTGAGTTTAGTACTACAAAGGTACGCACCTATGAAGCTGTGAGGAAAATTAGGATGCGAGTATGCATTAAACATTTCTGCTTCTCTCTTTGCAATTCTGTCTTAACAGGAAAATTAAGTGTGGGCAGCTCTGTTAAAGCACTAGTACAGCGTCCCAGGTACATACAAAACAAAACAACCTACTCCTGTGAAAAACAAAACAACAACAAAAACCACAAACAACAAAATCAAACGTAACCATGCTTTTTGTGTATTCTGCACCAAAAGCTTTAATTCATCCATGCCATAACCCAAGAAGGCCAAAGGAGTTCTACCATTAGCACATTCAGCTCATTCATCTTCATTCTAGATATAACCATACAAAATATATTCACATGAATGAATTAAAGTAACTGCAGAGTTTATCACATCAAAAGTGCCGACTCCATTTCAGTTATCAACCAACCAAAACATCACCGAAGATTTCTGCACCCAGCTTAAACAAACACACTGGTTATTTGCAGCAGTCTCTCAGTTCTTCATATGCAAACATCCTTTTATCAGTCTCACCGACACACAACCTGCCTCGCCGATACCGGGAGGGATACCCAAATGTGAGCATAAAGACTTCCTGATGATTAGACAACATTTCTATTAATGATAATTAAACTCAGGCAGCCACAGTGAGCGAAGAGGTCCTGAATTGTTGGTGCAGTACATTAAATGTTGAAACTATTCTCTGTAAGTACATTCAGGCAGCTCTGTTTAATGATTAAATGACTATTAGTCTTTCTGTAGCATGCATCAGTAAGTGAAAAGGGTGTGAATTACATGATCATATTTCTTTTCCTGCCCGAGAAAAAGCACTACACTGAACCTCATGATTTCTCCACTTCTTGTAAATCAGAAAAAACACCACAGCTGGCTTGCTGGAGGTCTGGGATATCAGTCTCAGAAACAACTTCACAACTGGGCCACAAAGTGAATGGCAGAGATGATCCATTCTCTCCCTGGGAGGGAGAGTTAGTTAGCTCCAAGTTCAGCTGACACAAGAGAGAAAGGCTGAAGTGGGCCCACAAACTTTGTGCTTAAATGTGCATCACAGCAGGAATCAGACAGGTCACCTGCCTCAAGTCCAAAGCAGCAGGGAAGTACTTTTCAGGATGGCATCCTAATTACCATCTTCTGTGACAATGCAATTCACAGATCAAGCCAAACTCCTTGCCTGGCATCGGGAGACAAAGGGGAGCACAGTAACAACTGGACACATTAAAGGAAAAGAGTGGAGACCAGCAGCAAAAAATCTCCAACTATGTTCTGGACTTGAATTTCCTCCATAAACAACCTCCTTCAAGCACCCTCCATCTCTCATTGAAATCTCTGAAGTCAGCAGGAACAGGGAGCAGGAATGTTCAGCAGCTCTAAAAATAAGGCCACTCCTAAATGCCTCTAAACATAAGTGCACAAGTTTGACAATCCTGGCCTTCAGCTTTATTTTTATGTCCTAACCCATCAGTTAGAAAGTGACAGTACCAGAAGGCTGGACAATACCTCCTCCGCACCAGGGTCTGTGACAAGCACAAGGAAAATTTAGATGCTCGAGCACAGGGCTGATTCAGGTAAGTGGGGATATTTGGCAAGCCTGCCTCAAAAAAACCCCGTTAAATAATATCAGACTGATGACAGAAAAAGCACTAGCAAAACAAGCATTAGCTGATAGCCTCCCATTCGTTACGATGCCCTGCTCTTAAAACCACACTAAGCAGTATCTGAGTAAGAAACAGCTACACATACTCCACCCCTTGCTCGTACTGGATTATGTCAAGTTTTCAAAACAGCACGGTTGTATGCAATGATCTAGAGTTGCACTAACACACACATGCAAAATCCCTCTTGATTTTAAAATAACAAGCAAGAGACCAAACAGCAACGTGTGCCTGCACTGAACTGTGTTTTGGCAACTCGATCCTTTACTGCTGAGTTAAGCACTTCTTCTAGCAGCTGAAATTTGAAAAAGACACATCCTAAGGTTTATTTGCCAGTGAGAAGCTGGCCTCGCACCGATTCCCTACTGAGGGCTGAAACGCACCCCTTGGCAACTCGTACAAGGTAGAAACATTTAACTGCTTAAGGTTTACTGATTCAGTCCTCACGTTTCTCTCTGAAGAAGCACCCCTCGGTGTTGAGTCAACACATTTCGTTCAGTTGAAACATGAAGACCCATCTGGTTACTGTATGAAAGTAAATCTCCAGGTAATTAGACTCTAAACCAGCTGAGAACTGCATGCTTACGTCTTGCTAAGTATAAGGTAATATGAGCTCTGTAATAGTACATCTGCATGGCTCACGAAGGGGAAGTTTGAGGAGTGCGTTTAAAAAACATAAAGCGACAGTTCGTAACATTTTTAGCAGAGAAGGCAAACTTACAATTTGTAGCTGCTGTACCATTTCTTCTCTGTATGCCAGTTCCCGCTTCATCTGATCTTGAAAATTATCTGTAAGGGGGGGGAGGGGAGGAAGTAGATGCAGTAATTAAAACAGAGACCACACAGCAGAATTCATATAAATCAAAGGAAATCAAACCCAATCACTACTGAGGAACTGTGAAGCACTACAAAGCCCTTCACCCAGTCAAAACGCATGCCTAACAAAAACAACTTCTCTAGTAGGAGACACTGTAGACAACAGAAAAACCATGGAAAAATCAGATTCAGCTGCTTCCCCAATTAGCAAACGTAGGCTGCTCACCCTTCACCCAATTAAAACGCATGCCTAACAAAAACAACTTCTCTAGTAGGAGACACTGTAGACAACAGAAAAACCATGGAAAAATCAGATTCAGCTGCTTCCCCAATTAGCAAACGTAGGCTGCTAAGTTTCTGTCGCTAGCATTCATTCTCGCAGTGATTTTCTCAACGGGCCAGACTCCGCAGTCATTAGTCAAGCTTCTACCAACACTGAAGAGCAAAAACTTCTCTTCTTTGCTTTGGCATAAATCTGTTGACATCAATAGGGATGTCCAACATGCGAGAACAGAAAGTGTTCAAGGATGCAGGGTTTGATTTGTAGTTTGTAACATAGTGCTGACGGCTTTGAACAAAACTCAGACTAAAGTTCCATAAACAGTGACGCAGAACTCAGAAGGGAAAAAGTCTTTGAAAGACAGATCCTGGACAGCCGGGTTACAGCACAGGCCGGCCTTCCTGCTCCAGTAGCTCCTCCTTCCCTTATTTTCCTCCTCAGTAACCATTTCAGACAAAACTTCATTTGGTAGAAGATTAACTGCTGGTCTGTGTTCCATAACATTGTCGTTGGAGGGTGGGAAAAAGACAGAAAAATATAAACAAAACTACTGACAAGCAGCTAAGAGCTTGGAGAGTTGCCGCATGATGGAGACCTAGGTACAGCGATGGACTATTAAATAGAAGAGGAAAGAAAACCCATTCCAACCAATATCATTTTGATCCGGGAAACAAGCCTGTTCTGGACCACGGGAGCGGCAAGGTGAATGCCAACTGAAAACAGCATGGAGCACCTCAACACGCAGCACTGTCAAACTGGAGAGAGCTTGGAGAAGGGCATTACAAGGCCGAGGCAGCTAGAATGGTTTCTCTACAACTAATAATTAAAAGAGTTACATAATCATGCTGGTTGCTGGGACACTAGCCCAGGACTCAGGAAGCCTGGGTTCAATACCTGGTCTACTGGCCTCTGCGCGTGTGTCTCTCCGTGCCTCCTTTCATCACCAGTAAAGCAGGAATAATAGCACTGCTTCAACTGCCAAGTGCGTTGGGAGGATTAATGGATTAAATGACTGTGGGATACTTCGACAGCACAGTAATGGGAGTCACAGAAACACCTAAATTGCAATGGGAAGATGTGAGCCCAGGTGAGACCGAGCGGCTCCTGGTAATACTCTGTGTGCTGCCGCAGTGCTGGCAGCTCACCCACTCCCAAACCTGCCGCACAGCCTCGCCACGACTTCTCAACCCCAGAAGCAGTAGCAGGAAGGCAGCGAGCAGCCGTGGCACGACACAGTGGAGAGGAAGGATGTACCTCACCCGCGGGGAAAGGGAACGCGTCCCCATCAAGTGTGGGCACAGGAAGGGGCTAGAAGAAAGTACAAGGGGGCAGAGCTCTGTCCTCTTTCACACAAGAATTTTGCCCTCTCTGAACGACGAGCAGAAGTTGTTGTTTAAAAGGCAAGGAGGCACTTTAGGACAACAAGAAAATAGCAATGAAACAAGAAGAGTGAAAAAATCTGTCAGGCTGAAGCCATCAGGAGTCTAGCACAACCACGTAGAAAAGGACGTGACGACATTGTCTTAATAAAGTTCTTCAGATTTCAAGTAAATGCCCGCAGAATTTTTCAGCCTATTCCCTCTACTCCAACTCAACCAGAAAAAGAAGGCGACAGAAATAAAGCAGGTTTGCAACTTCTCTCTTCCTAGCCCCAAAAAAGCCGTGCAGTATAGCAAGGTGACCACCTCCTGTCCTGGTCACTGAAGGCTGATAGATCCGTGCTAGTTACTACTGAGGTCCTCCAGTTTCATTCTGAGTAGGCTATATGGAGAAATTTTCCTTCTCTCCCCAACACTTTCCTCTCGACTGCCTCTTCACAGGCTCATCACCTCTCAGAACAAACAGCTCAGAAATCTTGCTCAGTCCTGCACTGCAAATGTCCAAGCTCACAGTGGAAATGAGGTGTTAATGGTAAGGATAGTGTTTTTTCCGGCAGCATTTATCTGAGTCCGAATGCTTACAGACAAAGCCATGAGCAATACCCAAGAGGAAAGTTATCAATATTTAAATAGTTTTCTTAACACAAAATTAAATACTTTAACTATCCAGACTACGTCTCCGCCATTTTATTACCACGTTGTTAAATGCAGCCGGACAAAATGCATGCCAGCCGACACCAGAGGTACAAACCAGTGGAGGGTTCTGGGCGAACACGCTGCCAACTGTGCACAGGTGCTCATATTTCTATCAGGACAGCAAATTCTTTGATTTTCTTCAAGTGATCTGATCTTTTTTTAAATTTTCTTCAAGTGACCTCTGCGTTGAGAGATCTTATAGGCAAAGGAAAACCTCATCTGCAGCTTTCAAGTACAATAGCAATATGAAAAATAAAGGTGCAAACAGCAGAAGACAAGGTCTGGTGTTTTATAAATTATCACAGGCCACATTTCAAGCAGGTACAAGAAGCCACAGAGAAGCGAGCAGCATAGTACTGCTAAATGAGCTTGCAAATAAGATCAGTTCTCATTTAACAGTGATTTCCATGAGGAGAACGTGGAAACCAACACCATTTACACACAACACTGCATAGCACTGCTGTGGGTGGTGGTTTGACGCTATTAATATGTCACGCCCCAAACGTGCTCAGTTCCAAATGCAAGACCCAAAAAAAAGGTGACTTTGAAGTTAACTCCAGGTAACCCGACAGGAGTGTTTTCTGGAGAGACACAGCATTACCTTCCACATCTCACACGTTGGCTCCCTGCTGAAACAGGGATGAATTTTCTCCTTTTTAAAAAATGTTGAGAAGGCTTAAAAGCCAAAGGCTCCCACTTACCCACAGACAGTGCAAAGCACAGGGAGAACCACCCCCACCCGTGGGAGCGAGAATTACCCTGGCAGCGTGTTCCTGTCCTCAGCAGCTTTAAGCATGGGACAGAGATCCAGTCCCCATGGCCACTCAGCCCAGCGCTGCAGTGAGCTAGACTGGGATATAAAGCCTGTTACCTGCCTGCTCTTCGCTCCCTCCTACAACCTCAAGTGTCTCCAAGCCATGATAAATCCATCAATACAATTTTAATTTTACCTCCACTTTCCCCTAGTTGGGTCTCTCCCTAGCTCCTCCCTATCCAATACCACCACAGGCAGTTAGTAACTTGGGAAACCTGGCAAAACAAATAGTTTCTAATGCCTGACCTAAAGCAGCAGCCCCGTCCGGCAGCAAGAGCCTGGAACAGACCCCATCTCTTTTGCTGGAACATGTACCGCTCTAGAGGACAAACCACACTTATCTTGGATTTTACACTTATTTGCTTTACAAAGACCCTTTTTCTTGTTTTATTATATGCGGAGGAGGGGTGGTTTTTTGGTAAATCTAAATCTGTAAATAGGTTTTACGGTCACTTGTATATATTGTTTATAGCACATGATATGTTTTCTATTTTAATCCTGAAGAAAATTGACCACTACTTTGTGGTACAGTGAAACCACATATTTTTCAAGCCGGCATACACAGTCGCCACTTCCTTGGTTGGCCGTACGTGTTCTTTTCTTTTATTTGAATTGTATTTCATGTGGTTTAATTGCCGTGTTTATTTACATGGCAATGACAGAGCATTAATTTTACTGCAGAAGAACAAAAGGATAAATGAGTGACCTGAATGGCAAAACTCCAAGATGCCATTTCGCCAATACCACACATCAGTATTTTGAGCTACACAAATTATTTGAAAATTACCTCACTCCCAAACCCAAGTAATGACTGAATTTATGCTGAAGGATGAGGTTATCCTCCTTTCATTAATATCTGTATCACCTCAGGCGGCTCTTCTCCTTTATTTATGAAGCTGTCTACATCTTTCGATATTTGGGCTAAAGATGGAGTCATTCCCAGAGTCCTCGCATTTCCTTGCTTCCCTGAACTTACCCTATCTGACGCTACAGAAAGAGGAAAAATGTATTTTCCTTAAATAATAGGAAAACGCTGTCTGTGTTCCCACCTTTTCCTGCACATCCAGGGAGGTACAACATTCCTCAGCTTGCAGCAGCGAGTTTTGGTTGACTGACTTACCTCAGGGGTACTGGCAATACTGGGTTTTGTCCCTGGAGTTTTTATGAAGGAACTCAGAGGACTAGCAAAACAGGGAGTTTCTGAACTCTTCAAGAAACTACGATAAAACAGCACGAGGGCACTTTGCATTGAATGCTGGTCAAACATTTCAGTCACGCAGGAGTTAAGAGAAGTTAGCAAATGGCAGAAGAGCCTGACAATTAGTCTGGGAAGGTTTTAATGTATCTATCTTGGCTTCCTGTGAGTCAAGTAACTCCGCAGTGCTCCATCCGCACATAGTCTCCCAGGAAAACAAGGACAAAAATTGAGAGTTTTAAAAAGCAGAGTTTAAAAAAACCTCACATCATCAACATTAGGAAAATATTGAATGGAGATGCTGTCAGACCTCCTCTGGACTTCATGAAGAAGCGAGGTTGCATTTAGGTTTCCTTTAGGTTGCATTTAATACTGAACAGGGGGGGGGACTGTCTGGGCAGGCAGCTGCAGAGCCGTGACAGCCAGGCGCGGGGAAGCCCGCACGACAGTACTGATCTCGGTGTGGTGCTGTGTTACAGACGGGCAGAGAGCAATGGAGATGCCCTGATCACTCCAGCTCTGTAACACTACACTCGCTGCATGTTGGAGGGCCCTCAGCGTGTCTCCTAGCTTGTCCTGATCTACGTGGGATTTCTCCTGGAAGCATGCTTTCCCCTGTTGCTGACAGTGTAATTCAAAAGGCCTCAATCAATAGGTCTTTTTCCATATCCAGTTCAACTTTCTGGCAAATTCACAAAAACCCTGCTAAGTGTCCATTTTGTTTTCTTTTATTTAACACATGCCCAGCACATTCCACCACCCCTGGATAGCAGCACCCCGCTCATCAGCCATGGTGAACGGGCCATCTCAAACAGCCCATCTCAAGAAGAGAAATCCAAACAGGTCTTGCTACTCCTTAAACACACGCCAAACCAGTTCTCCAGCATCATCTAGAACCACCTAAAGATGACTATGAAGTACCCTGTCTTCAAATGCCTCCAAGAAGCTGGTTAAGACCACCGACATCGCTGTACCCCAGGAAGCCCCAGACGTGTTTCTGTCTACTCACTGTATTCAGTGTTATCAAAACCAGTAAAATATACTCCAAAATAGACATCCAGCTTCGTATCTTCCCTACAAAAGACCTGCTTGGGCAGCCTGAAAAGCCACAGCAGAAGTGCCATCAACCTCAGCAGAACTAAGCCAAAGATCCTGGCAACACAACTGAGAACATACCTCTCCCCTTTTAACAATCTGACAACAACCACCCACAAATAACACCAAAACCACAGATATGTATCTTACTGAAGACTGGGAAAGACGCATTTCCTTTCAACACCTGGAATTCCTGTTCTAGTCTCCTCCGTAAGTCGATCTGTTCAAACAAAACCTTCTGGAGTTCCTCTAACAAAGAGAAAAGAAAAGTGGTTTTGCTGATCTGTATAAATAATTCTTGAAAGAACAGTTGTGGAGCAATTCATTACTGTAAGACAAAATATTTTAGCAGTTATAAAAAAAAAAAAAAAAAAGTGTTGCATAGACCTACAATAGATTTTGTGCAGAAAGCCATGAATATAAATCAATGTAATATATTATTTTAAAGTATTATATTACAGTGTCATGTATTGATTGATATATATGCATTAATCTCAATTATATCCACCCAAAGGTCCATATATTATTCATATGTTACTTGACAAGCTTAAAATATGGTGCAGAACAAAAGTGCCCCCTATTATCCTCATATTCTATTAAAACAAAGAGCAGTTTTATAACGTAAGAGGCCCTTATTTATTTTACCTTTCCCCATGTTTTCTACATCCTTCTTCAGTGAATGAGGTGAATTGGTTTCTTGTGTGTGTTCGCCTGAAAAAAGCGAAAGAAAAAAGTTATTGATTTACCGATACTGCTTTTCATCAGTGTTGTCCTTACTACGCAACTGCTTCAGAGAATCCGGAGTAAAAAGGAAAAAGAAAATACAGACAGAGTAAGATTGAAGTTTATCTACATATCTCTGCCTGCGTAGCACAAATGTTTGCAAGACTTTTATTTGCTTCTCGTTTAGTAAAGTATCTGCCTACACCACAGCCTCCTGCAGACAAGACCTGACGTCTCCTCGATACCTAGGACTAGGAGAGCTCCTCTTGCACGTCATCTGCCGAACTGACCCCTGCTTTCACTCTAACCCCTCCTGAGGATGCTCTTCTCGGAGAATGACTAGGAATGAGCTGAGAAAGTGGCAGAGCTTTCTCTACAGTCTCATCTCCTCTCTTCACAACGGGAAGTCCATGCTACCTAGCTGGGCAGGACCCCGTTCCCAAATCCACGGGCAAAATCCTTTTTGCATCAGCCTCTTTGCCTTCATCGGCTCTTTATCATCTTCTAGAGCTCTATGGCACGGGCTTGTTGTAACTGGATGTAATTTATATCCAGCTGAGATAAAATTGACATCAGTGGTATTTGCATCCAAAGGGTACACCTCTGAGGTCAACCAATTCAGAGACTTCTGTCTTAGGTTGCTCACATAACTTTTCATCATATAGCAGTAAAGAATTTTCTAGATAACAGAATTTGACTATTTCCAGATATATGCATGCTACTTCTTTCAGACTTTTTCCTTTACAAATAAAATAAAATAAAATAAAATAAAATAAAATAAATAATAAATCTTCACAAGGTGTTAAGTTTGCCTGGATGACAGTTTGACTTAAATATGAACCTTCTGACAGAAGGTGTTATTCTCATTATCCTCTGGAACTGTGAAATTTTCCTCTAATTTCTATGAATAGGGTTTTGAAACAAAAAGCTATGAAAAAATGTTTTTAAAAGAAAAACTACCACTTTAGCAGAAATCAATGGGAGATTTTTCTGTTATTTACAGCTGAAGTAGAAATGGACTCTCAATAATTAAGAAAATATTTGGTAAATAACCAGTTATTGAACTAATTGGACTAATTCTTGTTTTAGTCCAGCCCAGTAAATACACATCATTAACTCTACTGATGAGTAATCACAAGACAGACATACATGTAAAGCTACTCATGCGTTTATGTATTTGGAAGAAAGACTCATGGAGGAAATACCTTGGGGGTTTCTGAAAATAAAAAGCCATAGCACTGACTGGGTCACCACACAACAGATAAGATAGCAGCTAGTTAAAGAACTCCTACTGTCACTATGCATTTGATAGTAGGTCATCACAATAAGCTAATTTTAAAGTTGAATTGGAAAGTCTTGGTTTTTATGCAGTCAGAACTCTTTCTGCAAAACATTTATTTCTGTTTTTAAAAATCAATGCATTCTAATATCCAGTAAACCTTGAAGTCATAGTATATGAAACATATCCAATAGCTATGCATTTTAGCATCGGCTATCTCTTCGTTCCTTCAAAAAAAAAGCAACCACTCATTCAGGCATATACATTTACACAACCATATCTGGTGCCAGCAATTCCATTTTAAAAACATGTTTACGCAACACAGTGATTAAGAAAAATCATTTTTGTATGATATTTGATATAAACTAAATGTTTTCTACAGGTAAATTGTCTCACCACACTAAAAGAAATAGCAAGCTTAAAAATACATCACCTTTTGGGCAGTGGTTTGAGGTGTTTCCATAATGTAAAATGGTCTTTTTTTTTTAGTTAACATAATTCTGTTTTCAACAGGCTTGCTAACAAAAGAGGTATTTTGTTAGATAAATTAGGGTACACAAAATCAAAAAGAAGGCATTTAAGTTTAGGAAGGGTATTTATTGAATCATAAATACTAGTATATTTTTTCCAATCAATTTCTTTCATTGAGGCATTCTTTTCTGAATGTTTTATGTGCAATTTTGAGGGACAACAGACTCACAGACAGAAGGTAACTGCATTTTTCAAGGGGGAGGAAGAGAAAGGGGAAGAGACTAGACCCTAGCACAGAGCATGGCGGCAACATAGCTCTTTCCCACTTCCTCGGTTGAGCTTTCAGGGCCGTATGGTTTGAGGCTGCCGACTCACCGGGACTGAAAGAACTGCATCAAAATGAAAATAAGGGCATGCAGCATGAAGAATAACTTCTCCAGCATCTGCAGCCTCCCTGCTAAACTACCGAAAAGATTTATTAGAAAATCCCCCATCCTTGCCCCCCGAAATAAGTAAAGAACAGGGTGGGAGAAGTGAAGGTATTTAAAGGCAAAACCCAGCACATACGGTTTTAAAGAATAACCGCACTTTTAAACTGCTTTCTGATGTTCAGAAAAAGCCTCGACATTATTATTGTTAACGGTAATAACAATCAGATGGGTTTCACCTTTCCGGTCCCCCTGAAAATGATAATCAGGAGCCTGCTCTTCTCTGTTTTTCCATACTTCCCAGAGGCCTCATCACGCGTTGTGTACTGTTCTACCTTAATTGAAAGGGAGGAGGTATTGAATATTTAACCAGTTTCCTTTCTCTTAAATGTTAATTAAAAGCTAAATAGGTGTTTAAAAACACACAAACAGAAAGCCCAAAGAATTTTAATCAGTCTAAGAAAAAATCACTTCCCCTTCTAATAGCTCCACCATAACTCTCTCGGGCCTTGACTACAGACAAACTTGTAGCAGCATTTAAAACAGCAGCACTGAAAGCCGCGCAGCCCCCCGGTAAGGACACCTAGGTTTTCTTTAAGAGAGGCCTATTTCAGTTTATTCAGAAAAAACAAACTATACCTCAACTGTCTATTGGCTAGGGGGCAAAGGGGATGAAGTATTCATAGCCGGTTTGCACTGCCTCAGCTAAAGCTTTTGGTACCTCTGTTCTTCCCAATGAGCTCAGGTGCACAGACATTGTTATTCTGGAATAAAAGCACACGGGTCATATTGTTGGGTTACACAAATGGCCGCCTTATCTGGAACGTGAACATCCACCCACGGAGGAAAGCAGAAACGATGTCTGTGAGTAGACACACCTCAAATTACTTTATCAGTACTCTGAAAACAAGAGGCCCCGATTTGTACATTGACACAACCTCAGCTCTTGCGATGCCACCATTTTATTAGCTCTACGCCCACTGGAGTAGATAAGATTTGAATTTTTAATAAAAGAAACGAACAGAAACATTTCCAAATTTATTCTCCCCGAAATAAATGCACGTGGCCCTTGGTGTAGAAAACCAAACCTGACATAGTCAGGTTACCTCTTCATGCTGTGCCACCTAGAGCAATCTCCTGCAGTCCTTCCTCGGAAAGCTCTCAAAGCGCTCTTCCAACAGCAGCTAAGAATTTCCACGCTGGCCCAGACAACTCAGCTACGTCAACGGGCAACTGATTTGCCCAGAGCAGAGCTCCCATGGACCGGGAATATAACTCCGCTCTCCTGACTCTCAGCCCTGTGCCTTGTCCCCAACTCGTACTCTCCACAATTCTCGCTACACCTGCAGTGCCAGACCACATCAACCGAAATCATCCACTCGTCTGTGTCTCAGCATCGGCCCTGTTATTCCTGGACGGTACTTAAGTATCACAGGGCACACCGATTCCTGCCAACCAGTTCTGCAGCTCACTCCTACCAGCTGAGCTTTGCCGCTATGAAGCCCGCAGCATCGATGGTCTACCATGACTTAAACATCCACCGGTATTTTTAGCTGGAGAGAGCGCTGTCTGCAGACGCAAAGACCGCAGCAGTGAAGATGTCGGTATCTTCCGGGTATAAATATATATATCCATTTAAAAAATACAGGCAGATGTGAACCGGCAGACTTTCAGAGCTCCAAAGGCTCCATCTGTGTTTGAAATTAATTACTCGCTTTAAGACACGCACAGTTCTTCTGTATGTCCTGAAGAAATCCAACCCTTACTGAAAAGATTCACGCGTCGTGCATATTCATGCCGCTTTTTGGGGGAATAATCAATAGGATAATCAGGACTTGGGAAAATATGCCTATTTTAGGAAACTCAATAAGCATCTTTTAAGTGCTTTTCTGTACTGGGGCTGATATACGTGTCTTACAAAATCTGGAGCTTCAAATGTTAATTTGCCCTGAAAGTGGTCTAACTTTAAAACAAACTAGTTTTGGGGGTTTTTTTGCACAGATAAAGCCTCATTTGTAACCTCCATTTAAAGTTTAAAACATGAACATCCGATTAAAAAACATCCGCGTTGAAGTACTAACGGATAGAGGAGAAAACAGTTTCAGGATTTCAAACTGAACGTTCAAAAACTGTGACCGACTTAAAAACATGAAATGTTTTAGAGAGACAACAAATCAGTTGGCTTTTGGTCTGAACCTTATGCATACATCTGGGAAGTTCTTCGTAACTTTATTCTGGAAGCATGAGGGCCCGAAAATTTCTAATTCTTGGCTTGTTTGAAATGGAAGGTGAGATTCTCACCAGACTCCAGAAGATGGGGCTTTAAAAAAAAAAACAAACCCAACCACACCTAATATTGTGAGACTTGCAAAAAATAAAGAAATTCAACAACGTTCCACCCTCTTTTTTTGAATGAAAGGTGAAATTTTCCCCAGACTCCAGAAGAGCCTAATATTGTGAGACTTGCAAAAAATAAAGAAATTCAACAACGTTCCACCCTCTTTTAACAATTCAAAGAGAACTCCTGAGCTCCTTAGTAATAACAGAAAAGAGACAGGAACAGTAAATAAGGACCCAGTCCTACAGTCCGTCTGCAGTTTTGACTGTCGTGCGGATCCACGTAGTTACACGCAATCTTATCTACTAGTACGCAACACTGGATCCCACATCTGGAACTTCACCTCGTCTTCCCCCCATTTCAACTTTTAACTTCTTTGCTTTTGCAAACACCTTCCATAATAAATTTTTATGTCTTTTAACTGCTGGATCCAATGCTTTACCACTTATCCCAGTAAAGACTACACAACGATCCAGTCTGCTATATATAATGCCGGGCTGTTTTCAACCCTCTGCGAGCTACAGTAAATCCAGAGCAATTGCACCAATATTTGCAGAGTTATTCTGGATATATATTTAAGAGTAAATGAAAGAAGAATCTGGCTCGCTGTTTCTAGTCTGAATTTTCCTGACATGCCTACCAAAGCATTTTTTACAAATCAAAAAAACAAAAATGGGGAAATCGTAACAAGATTTGAGAAGGTGACTTCAAGCTGTTATTAACGCCCAGTTTTAGAGCTCACGCTTCTCACTAAAACAGATAAAAAAATGAGATTAGGTGACTTACGCAACTCAACTCCTCTTTAAGAAATACGCAGCATTTGCAAGGCAGCCTTGCAACGCGGTTGCGTGCCAGACACACACAGCTCTTCTACCCTTCAACTCCAGCTGCTGAAGGAAGGTCGGGATGGCAAACCGCAGCTTTCCCCAAAAGCCGGACCAGTTACGTACGTTAGTGACAGTTACCTTTCAAAACTGCCGTGGGAATTTGAATAATTTCAAGCTCTTCCCGAGCACTGCCTGACAGAAAAGGAAGGGGGATTTTCACCGACAGTTTACTGGCTAGGCAGGACAAACAGCTACGGGATCTTCCAGCCCATTTCTATTTCAGCCTTGGAAATAGCTCTGCTTAATTACGAATTTTTAAGTTCATTGACACATTGAGGGTAAGAAGCAAACACACGCACTTACAAATGATCGTCTCTGGCACAGAAAATACCGCTTTTGTTTTAAGACTCCCTTTACTAGGTTTAGTTAATAAATACCAGTCCGTCTCACACGGAGAGGAATTTCCAGGGTCATTTCACCTTTCTTAATTTTATTAGGAAGGCACAGCTTTAAGTAACTCATAAATGTATTAAGTGTATTAAAGAAATTGGAGAGCCAGAATATTCTGCAAAATGGTTTGACAAGGAAGCAGAAAAGCACTGCGAATGTAACCCACTAATTCTGGGCAAGATTAAGAAGGCCCAGTCCTACGCAGACGTACCGAGATGAATCCCTCTGAAGGCAGTGGGACTGCTCTTGCTTAGAGAGCGCACAGAAATCACCTTCGGAAACCAGCTCTGAAACATTTTGCGTTTCTTTACAGTCAGTTCACCTCAGATCCAGTCCCCAGACCTTCAAACACCCAGGTGCTGCTCTCAGTTTACTTTGTTAAGTATTTAAGACTCTCCACAGAGTCGAAACATGCAGGGTAGTACACATCTTTGAAAACTAAAATTTAGATTTAAGTTTACCGCGAAGACAGACATACAGCTACCATGGACTCACGGCGTCAATGAATACAAAACATTTGGAGTTTCAGAGAGAGAGAGGAGCTACAACACCTAAGCAAAAAGCAAAATATCGCCATAATTTACTTTTTAAAATGAGCATGGATAGAATCATTTTCTAAAAGACAAAAAAATATGTTTTTTCCAAAATAAATTGGGCACCGTAGAGGACACCGACTACGCAGTGTACTGGATTCCTGAAAATTCTTGGGCTCTTAAGATTTACTTCTGCCAGTATCACTGCTGTGCTCTCAGTGGGAATTATTTGGAAGTACAGAAGATAATTAGGTGCTATCCATTGGTCCACAACCTCGATCCCTCAACCACAAAATTTACAAAAATCTGAAACGCCGATACGGTTCTTCCTCGTACACCATCGCTAAAGCAGGTCTTACTGTTAAGTATTTCTAAAAAATACCCTTTGAAATGGGACACATTTGCAAACGTTTGCGATCTTTCAATTGTTCTCTGCTATTATATAAGATTTCTATAAGATCCCATTTCTTCATTTCCACTCCTTGTACAACTCCCCTCTCTCCCCGCTTGCTCTCTCTGTCTCATTTGACAGGCAAATTTGCAGACATTGCCTGAGGATAACAACCTCGTTTGACAGTCAATTAACCGTGAATAGTCAAAGCCAAGGCAGTTTGCATTACATAAATGGAAAATTAGATTCCTTTTTCCCAAGAAACAAAACCCTCTCCTTAAGACACTGCAATAGACAACTTAGTATCAAAACTTCTAATCACGTCTTTCCCAAACCCCTTGGAGACATTTAGCAATCAGTAAAAGGTGGTTTCATTTAATTTGTATAATGTAATTTTTGTAAATGTATTATACATTTTGTGTAGAGATCATTATCATGGAGATAATATAAATGTTGGCATAGATGTCATAAAACACCTTTAATGTCTTTCTGACAGATATTAAAAGCAATAAGCTGTGATCCTTTTTAATGGAAGGTTTCAAAGAGAACATTTCAATTATTGTCATTTTATGCTTTTCCAGCCTGTTTCATTGTGTAACCTGATACATTTCTGAAATTTCTGCTGAAATATGCCCAGCAATTAATAATCTTATTCCTATTAATGTCACTGCTTTCCACCTATTTGCATTTTTCTCAGTTATGTTTGCTTGGAATTGTTTTTATCTTTACCCTTGTACTAAATATTCAGACATTTGATTATGAATTTAAGTCTCTGTCTCTTTATCGTCTACCTTCTTCTGAGCCTACCTGCTATATCTCTCCAGAAGTCTCCTCCTGAAGGCTCTGAATCTGTGATGAAAAAATTATGCTCCTTGTTCTTATCTGAAATCCAAACAAAACGCAGCGCTTAAAATGCTTTCGCCAGCAAGAAACCGCAAACCAAAATGAGTATCAGAATCCAGAAAAAAAGTAAATATATATTTGTATATTCAGCACGCAGAGAGATGCATTTTGGATGCGAATGAATATAATGCTAAATTACCACCATAGAGAGACTATTAGAATGTTTAATGGATTTTTTTAATTGAAATCACGGACGTGGTTTATTTTTGTTTAAATCGAGCGATAGAGAACAAACCCACACAGCTCGCAGAGCTGTGAATTCCCACACCTCGTGGTGAGCGGGCAGATCCACGCCTGTACTCACCTGAGAAGGTGTCCTCTTTCGTAGGCAAGATGACTTGATTACTCTCCTTGCTCTTCTGATTCTAGAAAAAACAGAAAGGAGCGGAACGCACAAGATCAGTATCGAAAACGGCTAGGAGCAGACAGGCAGTCTCAGGCGGTTTATCAACAGTGAGCACAAAAAGCGCGCCCACGGAAACAGCGTGGTGGGGAATCCCACCGTGGCATCTTCCACAGCCACCTTGATGGAAGGAGCACATGTCCCGTCGGAAACCTGACGGCAACACGCGGGGCGGGTGAGGGCACCCAGCCCAAGATGGGGCCTGGATTATTTTCTCCCATGTGTTAATCTAGGATGGGGAGGTCGGGCCATCGAGCGATACCCACAAACACCGCCGACAGCCACGCACCTCCACCCCGCTGGGCAAGGCACCCACCGAATAAATCTGCCATATTTATTTTTGTTAGCCTCCAAGGCCGGCCTTCGGACGCCGCGTCCAGGCCTGGTGGTTTTTTTTCCCTTTACAAAAGCGGCGGCGCCCGTTCCGGGGGGCCCTGCCCCCCCCCCCCCCCCCCCGTGCAGTGGGGTTCGGGGTTCGG